TGAAGATGCTGGATGTGGAGGTCCTGGGCTGTTGTGGTTACACGTGGTCTGCGGTTGTGAGGCCGGTTGGATGTACTGCCAAATTCTCTGAAACGCCTTTGGAGACGGCTTATGGTAGAGAAATGAACATTCAATTCACGGGCAACAGCTCTGGTGGACATTCCTGCAGTCAGCATGCCAATTGCACGCTCCCTCAAAACTTGCAACATCTGTGGCATTGTGCTGTGTGATAAAACTGCACATTTTAGAGTGGCCTTTTATTGTGGCCAGCCTAAGGCACACCTGTGCAATAATCATGCTGTCTAATCAGCATCTTGATATGCCACACCTGTGAGGTGGATGGATTATCTCAGCAAAGGAGAAGTGCTCACTAACACAGATTTAGACAGATTTGTGAACAATATTTGAGAGAAATAGGCCTTTTGTGTACGTAGAAAAAGTCTTAGATCTTTGATTTCAGCTCATGAAAAATGGGGGCAAAAACAAAAGTGTTGCGTTTATAATTTTGTTCAGTGTATATATACAGTATATATATATATACACATCATGGTCTGTCTGAATATTTGATTAGCTGGCAGGTGTTCATTAAAATCGAAACGTCCGGGAGCACAAAAACTTGTTGTCAGCATTGCTCCGCGACTTTTATTAATAAAATAGCTTAGATACTGAATCGATACATTATATTTCTCATTAACGAGGAGGTAAAAATTGCTGTTTTTGAAGCAAATATAAACTCACAGCTTCATTGTTTGTACAGAGACGCACAGACTCAGGTAATTCACACACGCAACTTTCATCTGTTTCTCTCTCAAAATGTCCATATTTGAGAAAAAAAAGTTGAGTAGTTTGCATCACTGGATATAGCTGTCGGTCATTTAACATTTCTATGGTAAAACAGTTGACTAATATGAAATGATTTGCAGCTTCCGTCTTACCTCGCTCTCTTTCAACCTCAAACTGACGCTTTGTGCTGGAATTAGTGCTCTGCTGCTGTGAACAGTAAACCCCGCCTACTTTGAATTGATTGGCCATCTCAGTTATTTTGACATTGATGAGCGCTGTTAGACCACTGAGACAGACCAGCTTAAAAAATGTCACTTTTAAACCTTTTAGTCAATTAAAAAACAGAGCGCTGCAGCAGAACAGTGCAAGAATTTCAAATATTGGGGGTCTATGGTGGTTACGGCCCTGATCGCTTCACATTCTCCTGGAGAATTCACTGATTCAGAGCAGAATTCGTTTCTTCAGCAAAACCATCACACTAGATAGGACTGAAGGTCTTTGGATGTTGCTCTTTGTGACTTCCAGATAATTTTGTACCTTGAAGTCAGAGAGATTTTGTCAGGACGATCATGCCTTTGGATGATTAGCAACTATTCCAAACTTTCTTCATTTGGATAAAATTGCACTGATTGCGGTTCTTTGGAGCCAAAGAGAAATGTGTTTGTAGCCTTTTACAGACTGATAAACTTTCATTTTTATTACAAAGGTTTCAGAAGACCTTCTTTTCCTGCCTTTGTGTCATTATGTGCTGTAGCTTAATGGGACCGTCCAGCCAAAAATAAAAAATTCTGTCTTTATTTACTCACCCTTGTGTCGTTTCACACATGTATGCCTTTCTTTCTTCTGTGATCATAAAAGATGATATTTTGAAGAATGTGAGTAACCAAGTTCACATTGACTTCTATTGTATGCTCATAAAAAATAATGCAAGTCAGTGGGAACTGAAAGCGTTTGGTTACCAACATTCTTCAAAATATTTTTTGTGTTCCAGAGAAGAAAGTCGATTCAAATTCAAATGAAGTTGAATAAATGATGACAGAATTTTAATTTTTGACCTGTCCCTTTAAAAACAGGCAGAGCAGGATAGATTTAAATATTGGCAATCGATGTAATAATATTAGAACAATAAAAATAATTACCGGCTATCATTATTGGCAAAATTCATTATATTTTAAGGAATCTTACATGTTTGTCGTTTTCCATCTAAATTCTTGTTACTGTAATGCAAAGAAGAAAAGTGCAGTTGTAAGTATACAATATGTTAGTATGTTTCTTTTACATTAAATGTATTATGATATGTGCTTAATTGCCATGAAAATGTTGAATACAAGGAAGCTTTCTGTTCTTTCTACTTTATTTATTTTGTAATTACAGTTTCTTCATTTATTAACTGCGTGGTTTTGTGTGTTCATGTCACATCTCAGGTGTTTGGTTTGGAGCTGGTAGGCTGTCTCTTTTCCCGAAACTGGAACATCAGAGAAATGGCTCTCCGGCGGCTGTCACATGACGTGAGCGGAGCTCTCCTGTTGGCCGGGGCGGGTGCAGGGGTGGGGCTTGGGACAGCAGCAGGGGAGGTGTCTGGAGACGTGGTGGTGGAGTCCTGCTGTAGCGTGCTCTCCATGGTCTGCGCTGACCCCGTCTACAAAGTCTATGTGGCAGCACTGGTGAGATGCTTCACCTCTGTATTACTGACACCACACTTACCACTGCTGCAGGATCTGACAGGGTTTCTGCACGTCTTAATTCACCCTTCTGAAAATTAAAGCCTAAGGCCCTGTGTCCACCAAAGCATTTTTAGCAGCTGAAAACGGCAGGCGCTCTGCTGAAAACACCCAGCTGTGAGCGCTTGAGAGCGCAGCGTCTTTTCAGTAGAGACACTGTGGTTGCTATGATACAAAATATCCGCTGAAGGAATATGGCAAACACATCGCAAATGAAATGTTTCTCCAAGCCTTATTTTTCATAACACTAATATGGTAGTCCGGCAATTCCGTCTGGTAAAGACATAAATTTGAACTTCTCCATTGATTTTCAGTCGTAGTACAAACAGGGTGTGACGGTTGGTCTGTATTAGTCCCGCCCCTCCTCCACTGTGATTGGTCAGCTGACTAAAAAGTGACCGTGATGAGCGCCGCGTTTTACCCAAAGTTGAACATTCTTCAAAAAAACGCAGAGAAAAAACGCCCGAGCGCTCAGCGTGAAAAAGACGCTCAGCGCTCGGCATGCTCCTGGCGTTTTAAAAAACGCGGCGCGCTCATTGCAAACAGTTGTAAAAAATACGCCAGCTGAGGGAAAAAACGCTTTGGTGGACACGTGGCCTAAAAGTCTAAAATCAGAGCAGAAAGACTTAAATTCATAAAGTAATGACATTAAATGTTGCGTGCACTGCAAAAAATTTATATCTTCAATATATTTGTTTTACAGTACAAATATCTAAACATCCTTAAATCAAGATGCATTTACTTGGGATGCAAATGTAAATCGTCTTAGAAAATTTAACAAAATTAAGTTTATGCTTAAAACTCCCTAGACATTCACATTGAGAACTTACTTGATGTACTGTGTTCCTTTTAATTTATTCCTAAAATTTTCAATACTTGCTCTTAAATAGCTCTTTAAAATTTGCTTCATTAAAACATGCAGAAACACTGACAAGTTTAGGATACAGCAGCATCAAAGCACAAAAACATCACATCAATAATACTGTCAATAGTACAATAGTGCATTGCCTGTTAGACATGACAATCAGTGTGTGAATTAATCAGGCTGCACTGGTTACTTGCATGTTTCAGCATGTTTTTGTGTGAAGCAGAAGTCTTTATTATGTCCAAGTGTCGTGCACGCTGAATGGTGAAGTGCTGTCACTTGTGATCTTCCTTTACCACGTTTCATATTCCTGGCCACTGCTGTGATCATGTGAACACTTCAGTCACATGAGGTGCTTACAGTGTGATGCTTCTGTTGTGATCATATGAACAAGACAGATTTCACAACGCTGCACCAGCTATTCACCAAGAGCTCCTACAGTCATCAGGGCGACTTGAACTGAGACCATAGTATTGGGTCACAACATAGTCTCGGTGCCCTTTGCTCTTTAGCTTCACTCACACAGAAATTCTGATTTTCAGCAATGTTCACAGATGTTTACATGACCTGGTCTGAATGGGTAGTGCTCCTTAACTGAGCTGCATTCAGAGGAGTCCTGCTCTATAGAATACAGGCTAGTTTTCTGTAAAATGAGCACTTCACTAGTCCATTGGCTGGTTTCATTGTTCTCAATCAATTCAATGTCAGAGATACATCCAATTTAAGCTGGGTGATATAGATTTTTTTTGCTTTTGTTTGTCACCTATGAAAAAGATCTGGATAGAACAGCTATTGTTGCAAAGTACATTAAAAAAGTACAAATATTCTAATTTAAAAAAATATATATCTAGACAAAGCGACCACTTACTGCTTTTACTCAATAAACAAAAGAAAAGGTACTTTGAAGAGTGTGTTCTTTTGAAGAACAAAGCAGCAAATTAAATTACACATTACATAGTTAAAGTCTCAGGTCTTTTAGTCTGCATTTACAGTCCAAGACATGATGCACAGATCTATTCTGACATGCAATGAGTTTCAAAAACTTTCGGGTGTCTAGAACTCTCCCTTTATAATCACCGAAGCTGTCAATCACTTCAGTTCAGTGCAGAAAAACTGTCAACACTGCACAGTAAATCTCATTTACATTGTGTTTACAGTTTGTTGGTTATAATGACAGGATTCGCAAGCAGGCTTGCTTCATGCAGTGAACAAAAACACTGGCATTTTGAGCAGTATTTAGTAGATTGTAACAAACACCTCTGATTGGCCATTGCGATCAAGAGATCAACAGACTCGTCTGAGATCGACTGCAATGCTCAACGCTTCAACAGCATGTTGTTAATAAAAACCGTTGAAACTTTTCTCTGTGTATGCACAAATACTCACAATCACTTTGACGCTGTCATACTCATGAGATGAAAATGGCTTACAGTGTTTCTAAAGCTAAACTAAACTTTAAACACTATCCACTGTTCGTTCAATACAATGACAAAAATCCCAAGAAATAAAACAGACATCAGGCCCTTGATACTTTTCACTTTTCACCAAAAAGTTAACTTCGGTTCTAGGTGATATCCGTTTATTTCTACTAGATATAAAAGCACAATTTTTTTCCTTTGGTCAACTTTGATCTGAGGTTGTACTGAGCTCTAAAGTGGAACAAACCACGCTGGCTGGTTTTAAAGTTCACCTCGAACCAGGAAGTCTGGAAGCAGCAGGTATCCTCAGGCTGAAGCTGGAAAAGAAAGGTTTCTTTTTTTCTTTGTCTCTTAACCTATTTCTCTTCCTTTAAGAAAACAAACAAAAAAAACAAGAGCTCTTGCTGCTTGGACTGCTGAGATGGTGTCTTTCCCTCGGGCTCTGTGCTCCAGTGAGCCGCCTCTATGAAAACAACAAGCGTTTTGTCCTTTCGGGGGCTTTCCAGCAGTTTTCCTATATTCTTCGAACACGCACCAGATAGAGGGCCGTCTCTATGAACTAAAAATACTAGGGACGAAAGCCTTCGGGATGTTACCTTGCGTTAGACTGCTCTGTGTTTTGTAGCGTTTGGCTGATCTGAAGTCTGCGGGTTTAAATGTCATAATGTTTCACTATTTATTCTTGACTTGGAGTTATTTTTTGCAGGCAGAAGAGCATTATTTGAGCCAGGATTTTAGCCTTTAGTGTTGTGTGAGTGTGTAGGCGGTAGAATGTGTGTTTGTTTTCAGGAGGGGAGTGTATGGTGGGTTAATCAGTGCTGGGCAGCGCTTCAGTGCGATGTGCTATCAGTCACCACTCCCCGCTCTCTCTGGAGTCAGGGTCCACTCACACACACACACTCGCACACACACACTCACACACACACACTGTACAGCACTGTTAATGTAGTCCAGTGCTTTTAGAATGGAGGATCACAGGCTTGTTCTGACCGCAGGGAGAATGCAGCGTTAATGCAAATAATAAAATACAACTAAACATATACTTGTGTGTGTGTGCTAGCAAAATAAAGAGGCTTATCAACTTTAAAAATGCTTATCTACCATTTATTTTATTGCTGACGTCAAAGGCTGTTTATCTAATCAGAATCTGTCACTTTGCTAGGCAAGTTAGCCAGGTTGTGTGACTTTGAAGCCATCAAAATTCAGGAAACATTTACAAAGTAAATATTCTAAAGTAAAAAAAAAATGTTTTAGACTGTAAATTTATTTGTATTTGTGAAAATGTGTTTGTAAGTGTATTTGGTCATCATATGATGCTGAATGTAGGGCTGCATGATTTGGGGGAAAAAATATTGTTTGCTATGCTTGTTGGTAGGGTGGTACAATTTGACCACCCTACAAACTTGAAATATTATATTATATTTTAGTTTCAATTTTAATTCAATATGACTACAATAATTGTGTAATTATAATATATAATAATGTTGTATTTACTGCTAAATATATTAAACAAAATAACAATTGCTATTGTATTGTTTCACTGTGAAATAAATTATTTAAAAGTCACAGTACAACTGTAAAATTACAACATTTAATATTCATTGCTGTCTTAATTTCAAGCTTTTATTTTGGTGTAAAACCATTAAAGCTTCTCTTTTTGTTGAATTTATTTCAGCTAATCGTGCAGCCCTCTTTGGGTCATGAGGCAAAACCAGCTGAACTTATTGTAGACATGAGAGTCCACAACACGAGCCACAGTCCTGAATATATGGTTTGTTTGTTTGTTTGTGGTTGTGTGGATCTGTATTCAGAGTTGATGTTTGTTTCAGAAAACCCTGCGAGCGATGCTGGTCTACACCCCCTGTCACTCGGTGTCAGAGCGGACGCGATTACAGCAGCTGCTGCGGCCCGTGGTGGAGACCATCCTGGTCAAGTGTGCAGACGCTAACAGGTACTCGCTTAAGAACAGCTCTGACCCCACGTGAACACAATCAGAAGATCTGATATACATCAAATCATATCTCAGGCCGTCATCTAGGCTCTGAAGTTAACGGGCTGTTGCCACCTAGTGGTCAGGCGCTGTCACAAACAGATAAATAATAAATGCTGGTGTTTGTTGAAGTGCTGATATTAGGATTTTGTTTAAGTTTTCAGTATGAAATCAAAATGGACACTATTTGCTACACTACACCTTCCTGGCCTTATTGTAGATGATATAAGGGTGTGTGTTATTTTTAAAGTAAACAATGGTTGTCTTTATAATCTTTCATTTGTTGTTTGCTCAAACAACTTTCTTTTTCAGCGGGCATCACTACAACCTAATATTTTTCAGTTCTGCTTTTCATTATCCAATCAGTACTTGATGGATGATCAAGTATCAACCTTTCTTTGGAATATTCAGTTTGTTCAGAAAAAGACCTCACATTGTTATGTTGACTTTGAATGCAAAGTGTTTTTCTTTTTGTGCTCGTAGTCGCACCAGTCAGCTGTCCGTCTCCACTCTGCTGGAGCTGTGCAAAGGTCAAATGGGGGAACTCGCTGTGGGAAGAGAAATCCTCAAAGCAGGTACAAATTAGAGCTGTGACAGTTGAGTGTATGAAGTGACCCATGCTCCACACTTTCTCTTTTTGGCATTTTCAGTGGCATAGAATAGTGCATAAGTACGCAAATTGGGAAGGAAACATTTTCAGCATATAACAAGCATACCTCACGTAAAGCTATTATAAATGCTTTGTGTAAAAAAGGAGTAGCTCAAAATACAGGTTTAGAATGAGTAAATGACTTCCTTTTCACAGACGTTCTTTTCTTCCCTTTCTTTCTGTAATATATATATATATATACTGTATATATATGTGTGTGTGTGTGTCTGTCTGTGTGTGACCCTGGACCACAAAACCAGGGTCCAAAAACAAGTCCTGGATAGGACAATATTTGGCCGAGATACAACTATTTGAAAATCTGGAATCTGAGGGTGCAAAAAAATCTAAATATTGAGAAAATCGCCTTTAAATTTGTCCAAATGAAGTTCTTAGCAATGCATATTACTAATCAGAAATTAAGTTTTGATACATTTACGGTAGGAAATTTACAAAATATCTTCATGGAACATGATCTTTACTTAATATCCTAATGATTTTTGGCATAAAAGAAAAATCAATAATTTTGACCCATACAATGTATTTTTGGCTATTGCTACGAATATACCCCAGCGACTTAAGACTGCTTTTGTGCTCCAGGGTCACATATGTATATGTATATGTGTGTGTATAAATATTTGTTTGCTTTTCAATGAAGACGTTTTCATCTCTGATTGTCCATCAGGCTCTATTGGTATTGGTGGAGTTGACTATGTCCTGAACTGTATCTTGGGCTCTAAAACAGAGGCCAATAACTGGCAAGCACTGCTGGGTCGACTGTGTCTGATCGACAGGCTCTTACTGGAGTTTCCTGCTGAATTCTACCCTCATATTGTGTCAGGTGGAGACTGTAACCAGGCCCAAAACGTTGTGGAGAGGTACAGAAATACATCCTAATCTTACTGTGCTTCTGTTCTCTATTTAATATGAACCATTTTAAAGATGTATCATTTTTGCAACCCTGTTAACAATTTTTTTGGGACACGCGTGATATTTTCAACTGATAAAATGTACGTGAGCATAAAAAGGAAATAAAATTTGTACAGTTGTAAAAAAATGCATTCCAGAACAAGTACCAGGATTGTAGATTTATCTCTAGTCTTGCATGGCCAGACCTTCAGACTCAGCAGCTTTCATTGACCGACATGTAAAGCGACAAATCACTGTAAATGTTGTTCAGCGTCTTCTTTAGGGGTGTGGAAATGTAAAGTTGATGTTGCTACAATAATGCAACCGATAAATCATTCATTCAAGAACGTCGTCTTCAGTCGTCAAGAGTCTATGCCGTGAACTTCACATACTTCTGAAAGTCCAGCATTTTTAGTTGATCCTAATAAGCATTTATTGTCACTAGGGATGTCCGAGTCATTGAATATTGAGTGTCTACCGATACCGAGTCCCGATCCGATACTTATATATTCCTAGTGTTTGATGCACAATTAAAGTACATTAAAGTTATTCAAATCAATCCATATAGGCTGGATTTTATATATATATATATATATATATATATATATATATATACTGTATATATATACTGTATATATATAAGATAAACTCACTCTCTATGTATATATTTCCACATACTATATTAAGACATCGGTGGAATATAGAACTACTGATATGAACTTCTTGATTTTAATAAGCAGAATAATTGCAACATGAAGGGAAAAAAGTGGAGATATGGTTAGAAAGCATTAAGCTCGCAGTGTCAGAATGCCACTCTGTCAGTCAAATCTGAAGCAAGACGCAACTCATAGCAATGCGTTATAACAACGACGTCTCAGATAGTCTGACAGCAGATAAACGTAAGCAGTAAATAAATGAGTGATCGTTTCAAAAGTGGTATTATATACGCTGAACATGGAAGCTCAAACACGCACATTTCTTCTTTTGGTTTTAATGGCGGCTGAACACACACACTTGTTCGTCTCTTTTTCCTTTAAAATTGTGGTTGGCAAATCTACTGGAAGGCGCATAATGCAGCCTACTGCATGACACCGGCATGACAGCTGACGTAAAATAGGGATCGGGCTTAAGAGAGCCGATACCGATCAGTTAAAAAAATGCTTGATCGGCTCGGGACATCCCTATTTGTCACAGTTGTAAACATGACAGCTTTCTTGTTCCATGAGGCGGTTTGGCATCATGACGGCTTTGTTTTTCGTTAAAGAAAGCCACACTCATGTCTTCTGGAAATCCTGATGAATTCAACCAATCAGATGATGACTTTCGAAACTCCCAAAGAGTTTTCCATTTTGTGTGTCTTATGCATCAGACATTCAGCCAACGTTGAGTCAAACTGAATCGGGAGCTTAAGAAACACGATCAAAACGAATTGAGAAATCTCTAGTGATACCCATCACTCAATAAGGGCATGCTAGATTGGTATCTGTTCGCTTTTTATGTTGTATTTGGAAGTAATAATCATCATGTGTTAACAGGGTTGCAAGCAAAACACAGGACACAACACAATATTCAGTTTTTGATCATTAGAACAAAGTTAAAATGTAAAGGGAAGCCAGTTTGCACCGCCTTTGTGCAAAGTGCTTTACTATATTGTTTTATTATATTTAATTTGAAGGTATCAGAAGCTGCTGCCTCTTCTGAGTTTCGCACTGCAGTCCATCGATAACTCTCACTCCATGGTGGGTAAACTCTCTCGCCGTGTCTTCCTGAGCGCTGCTCGTATGGTAGCGCGTGTGCCTCATGTCTTCGTTAAGCTCCTGGACATGCTCAACATCACCAGCTCCACTCACTATTCCCGGATGCGCCGGCGTCTCCTGGCCATCGCTGAGGAGATGGACATCCTGGACGCCATCCATCTGGGACTAGACGACCTAAAGGCCCACAGTTCGCATTCCAGCGCTTTCCTCGAACCCTCAGCCCCCCATAACTCCCCATGCGCCACCGAAAGAAACTCTCCCACCCCTGATCTACAGCAGCCCACCGCCAAGGTGGCGCTTTCAGGTCAAGCCAGTTCAGCTCCTATGGACGATATAACCGAGAGACTCTCAAACGTCGTCACAAGCCCTGCTGAGTTTCCAAAGCCCCCCGTTCAGGCCCGAAACAGACCCGTGAGTCAGTGTTTGAACTCCCCATCATCCAGTCAACCCCCGAGCCTTCCTTCTCTGTCCATGGCCAACGCCTCAGCCTTCCCTCCAGAAAACCCCAAAGCCCTGCCGCAGAGTTTTATGCCCAACAAGCTCGCCCAGTCCTCACTGAGTACCCAGTGTAAGTTGCCTCTGCAGAAGGGACTAAACTGTAAGGAGCCAGAGAAGCTGCCTTCGCCCGTGTTTACCCAAGCTCGACCACTGAGTCAGATCCACTGGCCCAGACCCACTCGCCCCTCTCCCGCTGCCTCATCCGAAGGAGCTAAAGCTTTAAGCCCAGGGACAAAGAGCAGCATGAAACTGGACCTTCAGGAGGTCAGGTCCAGAGACGGCGCGGTCTGCAGCGGCGGATCCGCTCTCATCCCCAGCAAGGACTCGGTCTTCACCCCAGTGGAGGAGAAAGTCCACGGTCTGGACGCCTCGGCTGATCTCAGCTCCAGCATGGAGGACCTGTTGGAAACCTCCATCCCCGCGGCAGACTGCACGGTCACCTTCCAGTCCGAAGTGGCGGTGCTGTCACCGGAGCAGGCGAACACGAGCGACGACACGTACAGCGAGGACGTGACCCAGAACCAGAAGTGCAAGGAGAAGATGGAAGCTGAGGAAGAGGAGGCGCTGGCGGTGGTCATGGCCATGTCTGAGTCGCAAGACGCCCTACCTGTCATCCCGCAGTTACAGGTGGAGAAAGGAGAGGACGTGATCATTATTCAGGTGGATGTGAGTGCTTTACTAATATAGTACACTTTGCCCAAAAATGAGGCTGAATCCTTTGTACACTGTTGAAAAAAAGGTGCAAAAACCGAACATTTAAGGGTACAACAACTTGTCACTGGGTCAGTGCCCTTAAAAGGACAACATTGTATCTTATCTACTGTTAAAAGCAGTAATATATACCATTAAGGTGCTACTATGAACCCTTTACTGGTAAATAAGGTACAAACATGTCCCTTTTAGGGTAACAAGCTGTTGTAGCACTTAAAGGTAAAGATTTGACACCACTATATTTAGGTTTTAAACCTTGCACAAATCATTCAGTTTAATGCAATTGTAAAGTCTTATGCAAGCACTGCTCGTGTATCATTTTAAGATCAAACAGTGTGTTTGACTTCATTTTTTTCCCCATTTTGCTTTTCATGGTCAGACACCAGAGACTCTGCCTGGTCATACCAAAGCAAAGCAGCCATACAGGGAGGGCATGGAATGGCTCAAAGGTCAGCAGATTGGCCTGGGTGCCTTTTCGTCATGTTACCAGGCTCAGGATGTGGACTCCGGCACTCTGATGGCTGTCAAACAGGTGAGAATATCTGTCACACACCACATCTATTGATCTATTGCAGTGGTTCCCAACCCTGGTCCTGGAGGCACCCCAACACTGCATGTTTTGCATGTCTCCTTAATCAAACACACCTGATTCAGGTCATCATGAAATTGGTGTGTCAGAGAAAGGAGACATGCAAAATGTGCAGTGTTGGGGTGTCTCCAGGACCAGGGTTGGGAACCACTGATCTATTGCACTGTCATCCTCACCGTTGATTACTGATCAATCCTACCTTAGCCAATTTCGATGTCCACCATTTTCTCAGACTAGCCTTTGCTCTTTTCTAACATGTTTAAGGAGGATCTGTGTGTGCTAGTTGTAATTGCAAATTTACAAAAATGATCTAAAACTGCTTTGAGTCGATGTTGTCTGGTCCCTTACAACAACAGTGACACAAGGTATACCCGGGGTTGCCGGGTATGCAAAGGCACTAAATATGGGCACAAAAGGGGGCTGAATGTGTTTTGTTTTTGGCAGTAATGAATGAACATACTATATGCAGACATAATGCTTGATTGCGATTTGTTATATTCTTCAGGTGACGTATGTGAGGAACACCTCCTCAGAGCAGGAAGAGGTGGTGGAGGCACTACGAGAGGAGATTCGCATGATGGGTCTCCTCAACCACCCCAACATCATCCGAATGCTTGGGGCAACCTGTGAGAAGAACAACTACAACCTTTTTGTGGAGTGGATGGCAGGTTGGTTGTCCGCAAACATGCAGAGAGTAAAGGTGCGGTCACATAAGCAAAATTCTGTGGGCAAAACATGCCACTTTTAAACCAAGCAGCTTTCTTTTGGTCATGGTGGTACATTTGCATGACTAACTTTTGCAAAATCTGTCCTCACACAAATTCCCAATTGTGTGGATTCCTATTGAATTGGCTGGATTTCGCCTGCGAAAATGGCAAATGTTATTGCACCTTAAAGGTAGTCGTTGTGTTGGGATCTCACAGCGCATTACTACATTACCAAGAGGTCCTTTTGGCTAATTTCCTCTTTGCAAGCAACACTTTTCAGTCACTGTTTTGCCCGATTTTGTCCTGGTCCATAAAAGTCATACTCAGACTCCTGTTTTCTTAGGTGGCTCTGTGTCTCATCTCTTAAATAAGTATGGTGCCTTTAAAGAGGGTGTGATCATCAACTACACCGAGCAGCTCCTACGAGGTCTCTCCTACCTCCACGAGAACCAGATCATCCACCGTGACGTCAAAGGTAAGTGGGGAGCAAAGTGGCTCGCTAGGTTTTGGAGCAGAACTTGTGCATGTTCCCATATTCACAGTCTTCTTTTAACCTATGCAGGTGCCAATCTACTTATTGACAGCACAGGCCAGAGGTTGCGGATAGCTGATTTTGGGGCAGCGGCACGGCTGGCTTCAAAAGGCACCGGTGCGGGAGAGTTTCAGGGTCAGCTCCTGGGAACCATTGCCTTCATGGCTCCTGAGGTAAACATTTGAATCTAAAAATGCAAAACCTGCCTCTTCACTATAGTGAAGCGTTTAAACAGACCGTGTTTTGTGTTGCGTGTGTGGTTTAGCGTTATAGCAACGTATAGTTACGTTTCACAACTTGCATTCAAATGGGACAGTATGTTGCATTGGCAAAGTTTCTTGTGTTTGCAATATTTGTTGATATGTCAAAATGCAGCTAGTACAGCCAAACTATAGATCCATCTGGTTTTAAATTCAGGTGCACAATAGTCACTTTGCTTGGGTCTATTTAATTCAACTACTTAAAAGAAGTTAGCCTGCTCAGACTGTGCTCAAAGCTCTGGTGGTTTGGTTGGAAAATGAGAGACTGAGAGAAAGAGAGACCTTCCCAGACAAAAGAAAGCTTGTTCATTTTGAAGAGGTTCAGTAACCTCAGAGGAGGCAGGGCCAGCTGAACTGCTTCCTAATTAAACAGAGTTTGGACACACAATAACAACAAGGAATTAAGGGGTCGGCCAATTGTGGCTGCCTTCAAAGAACTGCCGTTCATTTCATGTTACTCAGAGATCTAAATCCACTTTGTCCTGTTTTCCCGACTGGCCACGTAACTCTGAACACCACACAGAGAGGTCACCAGACTTGACCACGGTTTTGTGGAAGGACATTGACATTTAAATGTCCAGAGCATAGAGAGCAAGCAAAGTTGTGCACCTATGCGCCCTGGCTTCACAATACATGGCGTAGAGAAATAAAATATTTGAATTGGCTCAGTTCATCATTTGAATGGCTGGCTGATGTCTTCTGTTATTTGTTTTGTTTGGGTTTTTTAATTTAAATGTACTCTCAGTACGACAGTTCTTTAGCTGGTTAACTCTCAAAACACTCAAAATGTGGCCCGCAAGCCATTGTCCTGCCTAAATACTAGAGGTGTAACGGTTCTCACACCCAGTGAGTCCCAGCATGCACCTGCTGCTTCATGTCAGTTAATGGCAGTTGCGTTAGATTTTATTTAATGTTCTTAATTGTTTTTCTTGCAGCTATTTTAAATGGTCTCTGTGTTTCTACAGATGTCTCAGGATTGTGATTGTGAACCGGTGTAATTTGTGTGAGTGCAGGTGCTGAGAGGACAGCAGTACGGTCGCAGCTGTGATGTCTGGAGTGTGGGATGTGCTATTATAGAGATGTCGTGTGCGAAGCCGCCCTGGAATGCCGAGAAACACTCCAACCACCTGGCACTCATTTTCAAGGTTAGGATAGAACTGTGTATGCGCACACGTTTTATGGTCAAAAAACTTAGTTATGTTTGCTAAAAATTCCAACTCATAGAATCAGGGTCCCTGCAGTTTCTTAAGTCTTAAATTCAGGTTGACCAAATTTAAAGGGACAGTTCACCCAAAAGCTTGAGGTTTTTTGTTTCCTTCAGCAGAACAGGGAAGAAGATTTTTAGCTGAAACCGTGGTCCTTGGTGATTCATAAAATGCAAGTCAATCGTCACTTTGAGAGTCAAAAAAGCATATCAAGGAACACAAAATCAATACCCGTGGTTCCTGATGTTATATTGAGGCCTTATGAAGCGAAACAATCAGTCTGTGAAAGAAACTAAACATTATTTCCAACATTATTACCTGTAATCCAGTGTGAAGAGTGATGTCCGGTTCACAAACGAATCTTTCTTTTGAACTGATTCTTTTTTGAGTAAACTAGATGAACCAGTTCATCTAAACGGACTGAAGCGTCTGAAACAGTTCACGGCTCGAGCAGCATCGATCTACAAGTTACTCAGTCTAGACTCACTTTCACTAAGGACCATGGTTTCAGCTAAGAATCTTCTGTACTCTTCTTGGATGGCCTGAGGCTGAGTAAAGTTAACAGCAAATGTAAATTTTTTGGGTGAACTCTAAAGGCTTGTTCACACCGGGACAAATATGGCGCGAATATCGCCGACGTTTAACGCCTCGTGACTAAACAAAAGGTGCCAATGTGAGTGTGCACACCGACGGCCAAAACGCGAAGTGTAAAAGCGTAATTTTTTTTTTAAAACGCCTCGGGCTCGTTTTTTTGGTTTGACGCACCGCGTTAAACTGGCCGACCAATGAGATTGGCGCTTTTGTTCACGTGCCTGGAGCTGCTGAAGTTACAGTAAAACACGACTTGGTGGCGCTCAAGCACAAAACGGTCTTGCCGAGCAAACATTGATATCTAACGACAAAGAGGAAGTAAGTAGACCAGGAAGATGCATCGAGGCAAGATGAATATAGAGCTGCTGGTCTCATTGGTGTCTGAACACAAAGGGCTTTATGACAAACGCGACAGCGACTACAAAAATCTCGATAAGAGGGAGTTGTTATGGAGAGGAATTGCAGATCAAATAGGATTCGATGGGTATTTTTGTTTTTCATTAAGCGCCATCTAATGTCAGGGAGTGAATTTGCACGTTCACTCGGCTCATCGCCTGCGACAATCGCTTGGGTATGAACACAAAAGACGCGTCGAAAAACGTCGGCGATAAACACGCGCGATAATCGTCCCGGTGTGTATGAGGCTTAAGGTAGGGCTGCACAATATATTGAAATTATCAAAATATCGTGATATGCATATTGCAATGGTTTGCGTTCAAGGTTATCTTCGTAAGCTAAAACTAAAACTAATACAAAAACGACTGATCAAAAAACATTTTCGTAAACTGAAATAAAATAAAAATGTCAAAATGAATGAAAAACTAAAATGAAACAAAACTAACAACAGTTATTGAAAAACTTATATGAAAAAATTATATTTATAAAAAAATAAATAATTATAATTATAATAAAATAAATAACATAACCAACATATGTTGGTTATATAATTTTTCTAATATACTTTAGTACAATTGAAAGTGATTTTAGAAAAAAAAAATTTTATCGAATATCGCATTATTTAGCATGCTATCGCATTTTTCTTCAATATCGCACAGCCCTACTCTAAGGCCATAAAAAGTCTTCAATAGTATGAAGTCTTAATTATCTTAAATTTAGGAACTGAAAAACAAGAATCATCATACTGCCTAATGTAATTATTATAATAACATGAACACTGCGTGTTTAAAGTCAAAACGCAGTGCTGTTGCACATTCTATGGGTTTGTGATTTCAGAGCAGTTCGCGATCAGTGAAAACCACGCATTTATGCCAAATGATTGTTCATGTGCTAGTGTTGATGAATGATCAGTGTTTACTTTATGGTTTAATATTGTAATATGTGACCCTGGACCATAAAACCAGTCATAAGGGTCAAATTTGTAAAATTCTGAAAGCTGAATAAATAAGCTTTCCATTAATGTATGGTTTGTTAGGATCGGACAATATTTGGCTGAGATACAACTATTTGAAAATCTGGAATCTGAGGGTGCAAAAAAATCTAAATATTGAGAAAATCATCTTTAAAGTTGTCCAAATGAAGTTCTTAGCAATGCATATTACTAATCAAAAATTAAGTTTTGATATATTTACGGTAGGACATTTACAAAATATCTTCATGGAACATTATCTTTACTTAATATCCTAATGATTTTTGGCATAAAAGAAAAATCAATAATTTTGATCCATACAGTGTATTGTTGGCTATTGCTACAAATATACCCCAGCGACTTAAGACTGCTTTTGTGCTCCAGGGACACATATGTTATAGATGTTGGAAGATTGCATATCCTATCTCCCTCATCTTTTCAAATGAGCAGCTGAAGTAGTAAAGCAAAGACATTTCAGAATAAGAGTCCCGGTGTATTTTGAGCTTTTTTTTTTTTTTTATAAGTAAACCTTCTGGATTATGCATAAAATCTTTTTCTAGTTATTACTGGTATTTTGATTACACCGTAAACTGTATCTGGAATTTAATTCAGTGTGCACTTTTGAAGTGTCCCTCAGTATGCAGCACATTCAGTATGTAGATTTTACAAGTGTCGGCACAAAAATCAGTTTATTGCCTTTCTTTAAACACGTTATTGAGGCATTTTTCCCCAGCCCTGACACGTATTGATTTGTTTGTGCACGTGTGTGTATTTGACCTCCTGCCTCTCTTTAGACATAAACATTAAACATTATTTGACTAATCTACTAACCCAGCTCTCTCATCACGTCTCCTCTCCCAGATCGCCAGCACCACCACAGCGCCCAGTATCCCACCGCACCTGTCTCCAGGCCTGCGGGATGTCACGCTGCGCTGCCTGGAGCTCCAGCCCTCCGACCGACCGGCCTCCAGAGAGCTGCTGAAGCATCCCGTCTTCCGCCACAGCTGGTAGACTACTGAAGATACTGTGCCTCATACTGCTGTCGTGTGCTCCTACTGCCTAGAGTTCTTCTGTCTTTCTCTTGCCACAGTCACTCAACAGGGCCCTGAATGCTGTAGCCTCAACACCTGATGCATAGTGTCTGGATAGAGTCTTTAGTAATAGAGAGGCTGAGATCAGTTCCACACATTTGGTTCGGTCCGTGCATGTTTTACACCATGAATGTGGTTTGGTGAAAGACAAATCTTTGCTAGTTGAACTAGTAAAGCACCGCTGAATGTGAATGCTTATGATGCCGGTATGGTTCGCATTTCATTTCACTTCTGAATGGAGATCATGTGTATAAATATCTGGTTTTACTTGTTTTAGCTTAATGGGTGTAATCGGGAACCTTTTCAAAGCTATGACCCGATTTTAGACTGTGATGTGTGTCTGTAACTCTTATACTTTACTTGTTGGAAAGTCTCACTGGAACATCATTTCTGATCTCCAACTCCATTTCAGTTTTTTATGTTGTGATTTGACTCATGATTCGGTTGTAATTTCAGCTGTTGATTACTCGGCCATGTTTTTGGTGCTGTTCTGTTCACGTTCGTGAAAATCCGACAGGCGTTTTGTAAATGATTAAGCTTCGCAAAAGAGTATTCAGCACCTGTAACTGAATATTTCCTCATGTGTTATCTACTCTATTGCAAGCTGTTGAACGTTTCGGTGGAGGGATCATATTTAGCTAATGACTTTAGTGCTCGTAAGCATCGTTTTCCCAAAAACAATGAACATTGTGCATGTTCTGAAGACGTGTCAGGTGTATGAACTGTAGCTCTTTTTTAAAAATGTTAACATTATTTGGACTCCCTTCACACAAATCTCAGAGTTTTAAACGTGACCATTTCAAAACTATTTTTAAAAGTAAAGTTATTTAATGCTAGATTGTGGAATACAGGCTGATCAAGCTTGAGTTCAGATGTAAATATGAATTTTGGTAGCTAAATGCATTTTACTTGACTCCTGCAATGTTTGTTTGTTTTTTTTAAACCACTTTTGCATTTGGGTGTATTTTCTTTTTTCTTTTTCTATGCCTTCATAAAAGCTTTAAAGTTATGCACTCTTGTCTTTTTAAATACTGGAAAGGTGTCTGTTTCAGTCCGCTTGATAAAATCTAATCAGTATTACTTGAGTTTTTCACATCTTCTGTCATTTCTCTTCAGTTCTCATCATCTCGACCAGCTTGTTGCTCACTGTATGTTATTACTCTGTTATTTCATGGGCTTTTTTTGATGGGGGCTGAACTGAACTGTATGAAATGATGCTGTTTCTTGTCACTTGGTGGTACTTTTTATGTGAAGATTGTCTATTGCTGTTTTATTCCAGTCTTTTCTACCTCAGGTGTCCTCTAGAGTTTTCTTCTACCAAAGTTCACTTTCTCAATATATATAAATAATTATATATATATAAATATATATTCTTTTATTATAATTTTATATCTCTCTCTCTCTCTCTCTTTTCCTCTAAGATCTCCAGGGCTTAAGGGCTAACTTATATTAGCTCCTTTTATTGTGCAAATAAATCTCTGGGTTCAGCGAAAGAAAATGTAATTGGCTAAAGCTGTATCTTTTAATCTTGTGTAGCTTTTGTCAAAAATCTTTTAATTACTAGGTTTTTACCCCATTTGAAGCATTTTATAATGAAATCTACCTATTTTTGGTCTTTATAGCAAATAAAACGTATAGGAAAATCTCTTTCTCTTTGCCTCCATTGTTTCACATTTTGACCTTTTCGTCTAGAGCAAGTTTTGACAGCACACAAGATGTGCTGATTGCGTTTGGTTCGAGCAGTGTAACTATGATGTCTAATGTGGTTTGTAATGAGAGATGACCGCTCTAACATTGCTGTAACGTTCTTGCTCACTCAGATTTATTGTGTATAAGATGGTGCCTTCATTGTGTCAGATGTCATTGAGCTGAGAGTGCTGTGATATCTGATATCTGACATTACCTAACCTTGTGTAGCTTAACTCTGAAGTGTTTGTCACTATCATGATGAACATCAGAACAATTCACCATGCTTTACTAAGAGTGAATGCATTTTTAATGTCCTACTTTACACTTTTTTTTTAATTAATTAAAAACTAGACCACAGGAGTTTAAAAAAATTAGGATTATTTAATTCGTATGTAATACTGCAATTGAATCTTTATTGCTTTAGTTGTGCTCCTCAAATCTGTTTTGCACCATTGTTTTGATCACAACCAGATCGACTGATTAAGAATTGAATCAATCAATCAGTAGACATCTAGACGTCGAGTTAGTCTTCTTACAAGTTCAAACTATTTGTATATTTGTATTTATCTGAATATTTTAGAAATGCAAAATCTGTTGTTTCTTGCTCATAATCTATCGACATGAATAGGGTTTTTTAATTATTTGATTATGTCCAACAATGCTTAACACAGAGCTTATGTAACTTAACATTGAAGCTGCATAGCTCATTGCATTATAAAAGACATTTATACTAAACGTCATTTATACATAAACATTGTCCCATTCTCGAATGCTTTTTTTTTTTTTTGCTATAAAAATTTATAATCATTTGTGAGGTGTTTTTCCATGCCAAAAAAAAAACTTTTTTTTTTTTTTATAATTCTTGTAGAAAATGAAGGGGACAGTGCTGCTGGAAACGTGGGTGGTGCTGTATTAAACTCCGGCTGAATAGCATACTATCATATACTATCATACTACACTTAGTGCACCAAGAACTGGTAAATCAGTCCATAAGGATGAGATGCACTTTAGCACCTAAAACAGCTGTTGGACACATAAGATACTCACTGCCGCTTTCGATATTGACCTACCCTTTATTCAGGGACTCGTTACTCAATTTCTGTTCAACAAATGCCTGTGAAACTTGCTCAGTTTATCTCTCAGTTATTGAATTTTTTATGTTGTGTTACACATTACAGTTTGCTGGAAATAAAAGCAGTTGGATCTCTCTCTCTGTATATATATATATATATATATATATATATATACACACACACACACACACACACACACACTGTGAAGATGTGGTGGCACAAAAATCATGGTAAGGGGATGTTTTTTTATAATGTAGTGTTGGGCCTGTTTATCGTATACCATATCATGGATCAGTTATACATCAGAATGCTTGAAGAGATTACATTGCCCTATGCCGAAGAGGAAATGTCCCTGAAATGGGTGTTTCAACAAGACAACGACTCCAAACGCACAGGTAAGCCAGCAACATCTTGGTTCCAGACAAAAAGAATTGAGGTACAGAGTGGCCAGCTCAATCCCCTGACCTCAGCCAAATGAAAACCTGTGGGGTGACATTAAAAATGCAGTTGCTGAAGCAAAACCCAAAAACTCACAGCAACTGTGTGTGTATGTCAATGTAGTTTGCTCACCCTGGGCTGAAATACCTGTTATGCAACAAAAATTAGTGCAGTAAAGTTTTTTTTTTTTAGTTTATAAGTGTTTGAGTTTGATGAGAAAAAAATGTGGACACTACTATTTTTTTTTAACAGATTCCTTTTCTTTGTTTCCTGTAAAAGAGTAACGCAGACTTGATCAAATCTAATGTTTCTACTACATTTAGGATTGATTTTAAAGTGTTATTACTCATTTATAAATCACTCAATGGCCTAGGACCTCAATACACTGCAGTTATGCTCACTGAATATAAACCTAACGGACCACTCAGATCATTAGGATCGAGTCAGTTAGAAATACCAAGGGTTCACACAAAACAAGGGGAGTCCGCTTTTAGTTATTGTGCTGCCCGCAGTTGGAACCAGCTTCCAGAAGAGATCAGAGAAACATTAGTCACATTTAAATCTAGACTCAAAACACATCTGTTTAGTTGTGCTTTTACTGAACGAGCACTGTGCTACGTCCAAACTGATTGCATTGTATTTTATGTATCATCATTTTCTATTCTTAATTGTTTTAATTATTTAATTTTAAATCAATTTTAAAAAATCTTTTTAGAATTCCTTGCTTTTATTATTGTGATTTTTTTTACTTTTATGCAAAGCACTTTGAATTATCATTGTGTGTATGAAATGTGCTATATAAATAAACTTGCCTTGCCTTACATTTGAAATATGGAAATAAAAGCTATTAAAAAAATATTTGCACTTTATTCACTTTCATTAACGCACTGCTTTATTTGAAACTGTGTGTGTGTGTGTGTGTCTGTAGATAGATAGACAGACATAGAAAAACAGACATATAGACAGACAGACAGACACACACACACACAGACCGACAGACACAGACAGATAGAAAAACAGACATAGGCAGACAGATAGATAGATAGATAGATAGACAGACAGACAGACACAGATAGACAGAAAGATAGACAGACAGAAAGATAGACAGACAGAAAGATAGACAGACAGAAAGATAGACAGACAGAAAGATAGACAGACAGAAAGATAGACAGACAGAAAGATAGACAGACAGAAAGATAGACAGACAGAAAGATAGACAGACAGAAAGATAGACAGACAGAAAGATAGACAGACAGAAAGATAGACAGACAGATAGACAGACACAGACAGGCAGACAGACAGACAGACACAGAAAGATAGACAGACAGATAGACAGACAGACAGACACAGAAAGATAGGCAGACAGACAGATAGATAGACACACAAAGAAAGACAGAAAGATAGACAGACAGACAGACAGACACAGAAAGACAGATAGATAGACACACACAGAAATATTTTGAAGGCAATACAGTCTATTAGAAAATCAGATAGATAGACAGACACACAGAAAGACAGAAAGATAGACAGACAGACACAGACAGACAGACAGACACAGAAAGATAGACAGACAGATAGACAGACAGACAGACACAGAAAGATAGGCAGACAGACAGATAGATAGACACACAAAGAAAGACAGAAAGATAGACAGACAGACAGACAGACAGACACCGAAAGATAGACAGATAGATAGACACACACAGAAAGACAGACAGAAAGACAGACACACACAGACAGACAGACAGATAGATAGACACGCACAGAAAGACAGAAAGATAGACAGACAAACAGAAAGATAGACACAGACAGACAGACAGACAGACACAGAAAGATAGACGGACAGACAGATAGATAGATAGACACACACAGAAAGACAGACAGACAGACAGACAGATAGACAGACAGACAGATAGACAGACAGACAGATAGACAGACAGACAGATAGACAGACAGACAGATAGACAGACAGACAGATAGACAGACAGACAGATAGACAGACAGACAGATAGACAGACAGACAGATAGACAGACAGACAGATAGACAGACAGACAGATAGACAGACAGACAGATAGACAGACAGACAGACACAGAAAGATAGACGGACAGACAGATAGATAGATAGACACACACAGAAAGACAGACAGACAGACAGACAGACACACAAAGACAGACAGATAGACAGACAGACACAGAGACAGACAGACAGACAGACACAGAAAGATAGACAGATAGATAGACACACACAGAAAGACAGACAGACAGACAGACAGACACACACAGACAGACAGATAGATAGATAGACACGCACAGAAAGACAGAAAGATAGACACACACAGACAGACAGACAGACAGACAGACACACACAGACAGAAAGATAGACAGACAGACACAGACAGACAGACAGACAGAAACAGAAAGATAGACAGACAGACAGATAGATAGACACACACAGAAAGACAGAAAGATAGACGGACAGACAGACAGACAGACACACACAGACAGAGAGAAAGATAGACAGACACAGACAGATAGACAGACAGACATAAAGATAGATAGACAGACACAGACAGACAGAAAGATAGACAGACACAGACAGACAGACAGACAGAAACAGAAAGATAGACAGACAGACAGATAGATAGACACACACAGAAAGACAGAAAGATAGACGGACAGACAGACAGACAGACACACACAGACAGAGAGAAAGATAGACAGACACAGACAGATAGACAGACAGACATAAAGATAGATAGACAGACACAGACAGACAGAAAGATAGACAGACAGACAGAAAGATAGACAGATAGACAGACAGACAGATAGATAGATAGATAGACAGACAGACAGACAGACAGACAGACAGACAGACAGACAGACAGACAGACAGACACACACAGACAGAAAGATAGACAGACACAGACAGACAGACAGACAGACACAGAAAGGTAGACAGACAGACAGATAGATAGACACACACACAGAAAGACAGAAAGATAGACAGACAGACACAGACAGACAGATAGACAGACAGACACACACACAGACAGAAAGATAGACAGACACAGACAGACAGACAGACAGACACAGAAAGGTAGACAGACAGACAGATAGATAGACACACACACAGAAAGACAGAAAGATAGACAGACAGACACAGACAGACAGAGAGACAGACACACACACAGACAGACAGAAAGATAGACAGACACAGACAGACAGACAGACACAGACAGATAGACAGACAGACAGAAAGATAGACAGACACAGACAGAGAGAAAGATAGACAGACAGACAGAAAGATAGAAAGATAGACAGACACAGACAGACAGAAAGATAGACAGACAGACAGACAGATAGATAGATAGATAGATAGATAGATAGATAGATAGATAGATAGATAGATAGATAGATTCCCCCCACCCCCCCTCTTTCTCTTTTTTTAGAAATTATATACTAGATGACTTAAAATGTCTTGTATAAAGAAAGGAGTGTAAAGAAAACACACAAGAGTGTGAAAAATTAGACCCATTTATCTTTATTGATTTAGTTTCTGTGGAAACTCTTTAGATGAAATATTAATACTCTAAAAGTGCTGTTGTTATAGTATTTAACACTAGTTTACACTAGTATCATCGTTCTCAAGCTGGACTGTTCAGAAGAGGGTCACACTGTGTCATTCAGTGAATAGTTAATAGGAGTTCAGGGAGCTGGTGTGTGGTGATCCTCCGATGGGATGTACTTCACAGTGCAGCCTCCTGTAGTCATGGAAACGATGTTGCGCTTCCCTGCCGACTCGCGCAGAAGTGGCGAGTAAATCAGACGCACGCTGTGATTGGCTGCCGCTCTCTCACCATACACCGTCACTCACTCACACCATTGAACCACCTCGCTCGCGACCCTCCCTTCCGGGCCGCTTATTGGTGGAGAAGTTCAAGAGGCGGGAAATAAGGACCTTCAGAACAGCATCTGTTTTTTGATTGGCCGCCTGGAAAGTGCTGAAGAATAAATATAAATAGTGTGTCTTTAACACCGCGTTCAGCAAGCGTTTCACTAAATAACAAGCGACTGTCAGCACCTGCAGAACTGAACTCAGCTGTGTAGGTAAGTCTAGTCTAAATTCATATTATAAAATAAGTTTCCAGGTGCATTACATTTTCAATGCTACAATGAGTGATGAATGACTTTCTCTCAGTAGTCCGGTAATTTTAGAAGATTTAAATAGTGTAGGCAGTATGCATTTGAGAGCGAAATAATTAATACAATAATAATTATTAGTATTATTATAGTTGAATAAAATATCTGTGCAACACTAAATAAAATCACCTTAAATGTAATATGAACATCCGTCCCTGCAACAGCATACTGTCAGCCCAGTGAATACAAAATAATAATAATAATAATATGTTTAATTTATATAGCGCTTTTTCCCAGGCTCAAGGAAACTTTACAACTTTACAGAACCTAGAGGCTTCTGCATCTGAAGTCTTCAAATGTTAAATACTAAAATAGTAGAAACACGTTACTTGAATACTTGAATAAATAATAAATAAGCGCCGATTTGTACATTTATATAAAAAAAAAATATTAGCGTTGAATAAAAATGTTAAAGGCAACACAACAATTATTTATTGTTTAAAACGCTTCAGTTTTACATGACAGATTAGAATTAGCGCGTCCCGAGAAGTAGGCTTAGAAATACTACGCTCTACACTGAAAGTTCCTGCTTACTACGTACTTGCATGTCCGGACTTTTAAGTACGTAGTAGGCGTTCCTCCGAAACCGGAAGCGGAAGCTCACATTCACAGCTCGACTGCGCACTCGGCACACATCTGACCTTATGAGATCTCCTGACGGCGCTGCTCTCCGACTGTAGCAGTCCAGCGAGAGAAACTAACATATGATTGTAAGGTAAGAAGACCACCTGCTGTTTCTGAAGGGACTGGTAGCGGTCATCAGTCCGTCAGCTCCTCTCCAGAGTCATTACAGCACTACAACCCATGAGACAGGCTTAGGTTTGCCGTTTGTTAGTTACTAATAAACCAAAAGGGATTTATTATTAGTAAGCGAACCATCAGAGAGCAATGGCAGCTGTTATTGTCCTAAACACATGTAGTCAGGTGTAAGTATGCTATGAGGGGATGATTAAGAGGCAAAGATTGTTACAGAGGAATGATAAGAGCATCCTAGTCAAACAAGAACAGCAATTTCTGTAATTCATATTTACTGAAGAAACATGACAGATTAGCTGTTTATAATCTGTAAGCCTCTTTAAAGTTTGACCCACAACCATGCATTTGTTTCTGTGTAAATAAACGCCTGCCAGTAGTGTTCACTTGTTTTGTTCCACACTGAGTGGTCAAGTGTGTGACAGGCTGCCATGTCTATGTGGGTTAAAGGTCATGTGCTTTCAGCAGCAGAAGGCTTCATCTCATTAGAGCAGAGCTCCTGTGGCTAGCAGGCTTTGCCATGTGCCTAAAGCCTGCGACTAGACTCTTCCTCATATTAAATCATTATGGTGTTGCACAGACATGTTTGTTTTCTTTTCTTTTTTTTTCCCCCAAAAGATTACCCGCTTGATCGATTAACAGATTACATTGTTTAACATCTCATTTACTGTAGTATTTATTTATACACCACCGGTCAAAGGTTTGGGATAATTACGGGTTTTTTTATGTTTTTGAAGGAGGTCTCTATGCTCACCTAGGCTGCGTTTATTTGATTAATTTTAAAAAAGGCAGTAATATTGTGAACTATTATTACAATTTAAAATAATTGTTCTCTATTTGAAAATATTTTAAAAATATATATATTTCTGTGATGCGCAGCTGTATATTCAGCATCATTACTCCAGTCTTCAGTGTCACATGATCTTCAGAAATCATTCTGATTATTGTCAATGTTGAAAACAGTTGTGCTGCTTCATATTTTTGTAGAAATATTATGTTACACTGCCATTCAAAAGTATAGGGTAAAAAAATACTTTTATTCAGCAAGGGCATATTAAATTCAACAAATGTAACAGTAAAGACGTTTGTAATGTTACGTGGGATTTCTATTTCGAATAAATGCTGTTGTTTGAACTTTCTTTTCATCAAACAATCCTGAAAAACTTGTATCATGGTTTCCACAAAAATATTGAGCAGCAAATCAGCATATTATACTGATTTCTGAAGATCATGTGACACTGAAGACTGGAGTAATGATGCTGGAAATACAGCTTTGATCACAGGAATAATATATTTTTAAATGTATTCAAATTGAAAAGTGTTATTTTAAATTGTAATAATTTTTTTACAATATTACTGTATTTTTGATGAAATAAATGCAGCCTTGGTGAGCAGAAGGAGACATCTTTCAAAAACATCAAAAAGTCATAATTCAAACTTTTGACCTGTTGTGTATATCTGCATGATATCTGTAAGCGGTGAACCTGTTTTCTTAATATCAGTCTTGTCTGTTGAAGGGTCAACCACTCGGTGGGATTGAAACTGTAATAAACCTGGTTTATGTGAGTCAGTGTGTGGGCTAAATTAAATGGAATATTCTTGTCTCAGTCCGTTCAGGATGCCTGGATCACTCCCTGCTGTTTGTGAGGCCTCATGGCCTAAAGATGTGGGAATCATCGCTATGGAGGTGTACGTTCCCTCTCAGTACGTGGAGCAAGCGGAGCTGGAAGAGTTTGATGGGGTCGGAGCGGGGAAATACACGGTGGGGCTGGGCCAGGCGCGCATGGGCTTCTGCTCGGACCGGGAGGACATCAGCTCTCTGTGCCTGACGGTGGTGCAGCGGCTGATGGAGCACAGCGGCCTGTCCTACCAGAGCGTGGGCCGGCTGGAGGTGGGCACAGAAACCATCATCGACAAGTCCAAGTCCACCAAGACCGTCCTGATGCAGCTGTTCGAGGAGTCGGGCAACACTGACGTGGAGGGAGTGGACACCACTAACGCCTGCTACGGAGGAACCGCCGCGCTCTTCAACGCCGTCAACTGGGTGGAGTCCAGCTCCTGGGACGGTGCGCTTCTCAGGCACACTTTACTGACTAATACAAAATTATATATTAAAAAATAAACCTTCCCAAAAGAAAAATTATATTTATAATTACATTTTGCTTAAAGATTGTGAAGTCTGTTTTTAGGAACATGATTTTATTTTATTTATTTATTGCAGTTAAGCACATTTTTTTTAATGATGTTATATTATATTACATAAGTTTCGTGGTAGTATTTAAAATACAATTACAATACAAATACCATGCTAGTCGGACCCAACGCCCCTCTGGCCTTCGAGAGAGGTATGAGGCCTGCAGGAACCGCCGGCATTCATGACCTTTCTCACAGTAACCTAGAGAGCTCGAACAAAACTGGTTTTGTTATCTTTGTGATACCAAGGTTAAAGTCAACACTTTTGTTTCCCACTATATTTACATAACTTTATTTACAAAATTTAACATATTGTATTTCATGAAGTAAATGTAATCACTTACTTTAACAGGGCTTCGTGGGACACATATGCAACATGCGTATGATTTCTATAAGCCAGATATGGTGTCTGAGTATCCAGTGGTGGACGGCAAGCTTTCCATCCAGTGTTACCTCAGCGCTTTAGATCGCTGCTACTCCATCTACAGGAACAAGATCCATGCCCAGTGGCAGAGAGGTTAGCAAATACATCTACATATTCTCAAACAATAGAAACCCATAATTCAGTTTGTTTAGCCTCATTTATTTATTTATTTATTTATAATCGGAATATGAAAATAGCATCATTATTATTCAGCCATTTTGTGAAAGTCAGTATTGACAAATATTTTGCAAAACAGAAAAAAAGGTCAAAAGACATGTTGGCAAAATGGCAAAGAAACAAAGTTTTGGCAGAAAATTCCAGACACATTGGGATGAAAAAAAAAAAGAAAAATCTGTCTATTATTATATTTTTCGATGTGATTTGTATGGAAGCCCGTTTCCGCCACTGAATAAAAAATGAATAAGGTAATTGCGACATTTTATCTCAAAATTCTGACTTTTTTCTCATAATTGCGTGATATAAACTCGCAACTGCGAGAAAAAAAGTCAGAATTGCGAGTTTATATCACGCAATTCTGTGAAAAAAGTCAGAATTTTGAGATAAAAAGTCGCAATAACCTTTTTTTTTATTTTTTCATTCAGTGGCGGAAACAGGCTTCCATAGATTTGCGATGTGATGTTTGGAAAAAACACTATTCAACTAGTTGGCATTAAGAAATCCCAGTAGTTTTTCATAAAAGACAATTCCTCATTTAATGCATTACATGCTGTGTAATACCCAAATAAACCATGATCATTGATCATGCACATCTTATCAGCCAAACTTTTTCTCAATTTTCAGTGGCCAAACCATCAATGCATCGCTAGTAAATTAGTATTAGTATTTAGGTTTCATCTTTCTTTTCTTCGGGGTCCATGAATGGGTGAAAACTCTGCCACAGTGTCTGATATAATTAGTTTGTTTTGTCTTCCTTGTGTTTCAGAGGGTCTTGAAAAGCATTGTAGTCTTGAAGACTTCGGCTTCATGGTGTTCCACTCTCCTTACTGTAAACTGGTGCAGAAGTCTTTGGCTCGACTAATGCTCAACGATTTCCTCTGTCATCCCAGTCCAGACACAGAGAGCGGGCCCTTCAGCGGACTGGAAGCTTTCAGGTTAATTCCTCTTTAAGAAGGGTCTCACAATAGACAGTGACATAACTGCAGCCACTTTCAATGAATAGTTATTTAAATTAGAATTTTTATTTACATTTTGAATTTAGTTTGGAATGTTTGAAGATTCTTCTCACAGCTCTTTTCTATAAACCAGCAGCTCATAGTGAGCACATCATGGTAAAAGCCAAACATTTTAATTTTCATTCTCATTTTTTGCAGAGATGTGAAGATTGAGGACACTTACTTCGACAGAGATGTGGAGAAGACCTTTATGAAGGCCAGCTCAGAAGTATTTGAGAATAAGACAAAGGCGTCTCTCCTTATATCAAACCAGAATGGTAACATGTACACACCATCAGTGTACGGCTGCTTGGCTTCAGTTCTCGCTCAGTAAGTGTCACAGGTGCTTATTTTCATGAGTGTGCCTTTTTGCTTCTTAAAAAGTCACTGTAAATGTGATGCACTAGCGTTTTTATCTCTACAGACATGCACCACAGCAGTTGGCAGGACAGAGAATCGGTGTGTTTTCTTATGGCTCAGGCTTTGCTGCTACGCTCTACTCCATCAAAGTCACACAAGATGCTACACCTGGTATGCACACACACACACATTCTCACACACACTCTGGTTAACTTTCCAATTTGATAATTTGTTACTTTTGCATGATAGGTGTAAGAAGAACATGTTTCTGTGCTTAAAAACACAAGACGCCACACAATAGTATCCAACTGCAGAGCCACAGTGCTGATGAATGGAAAAGAAGGCAGCATCTCGAGACATGGGGCAACAGTCAGTTGCAGTCTGTCTAGAGGATGTTTACATAGAAAAACAATACAGAAGCAGTGCAGTGAAGCACAAGAGCGTCCCTGAGAGTGCTGTGTCTTACCTTTCCCGTCGTCTGACCGTACAGTCCAAAGATCTCGCGCAGTTTCTCCTCACTAATGGCTTCAGGTTTGTCGATCTTGTTGCCGAGGATCAAGATGGGCACGTTTCCGATGGTTTCATCTGTCATTAGTGCCTGTTATTTATATCCAGCACAACAAACACAGGTACAGTATGCATTAGACAGGAGATACATGATGAATCAAGACACTTAAAATGTTTGCGTATTGCATAAAGGCTCATGAGACACCGTTGAGCCAAAGTATACTTCGGTCATCGCACACTGCTCATGTGACGTACACACACACACACACACACTCTCTCACACACACACACACACACACACACTCTCTCACACACACACACACACTCAAACACACTCTCTCACACATACACACTCACACACACTCTCTCACACACACTCTCTCACACATAACACTCACTCGCACGCACACACACGCACACTCACTCGCGTGCACACACACACTCACTCGCACAGACACACACACTCACTCGCACAGATATATTGTAATATTATAAAATACATTTCAATAGTGTCAATTAAATGAAAGGAACTTAGTCTCTTAATTTAGAATTAACCTACTATTAACCAAAAAAATGACATCACTGCCAAAACAGCTGCACTTGATTTAAAAAGAAAAGACTCGTTTGGCCGCAGACACATAGTTCCATCTTGTCTACAATAAACACAAGCAGTGTGGTGTTCTCTCCCATGATAATCAGCTGCCTACAGTTATATAAGCTAGTCGTACCGCCCATCGATTGATAACTCAGTGATTGTTAATGTACATCTTTATGATAAGGATCTGCTCTGGATAAGTTGGTCTCCAGCCTGTGTGACTTGCAGGCCAGACTGGACTCCAGAAAGAAGGTTTCACCGGATGTTTTTGCTCAGAACATGAAGCTCAGAGAAGAAACCCACCATTTAGGTAAGCAAGCGTCCGTGTTCTGTTCTTCTCTCAATCGTTTTGTCTTCATTGAAATCTTGGAACTGTTTGACGATGTGATGTTTCTCACATTATCACAGCAAACTACATCCCTCAAGGCTCGGTAGAGGAACTCTTCCCAGGAACATGGTACCTCACTCGTGTGGACGAGAAGCATCGCAGGCAGTACGCCAGGCGCTCGGTGAGCGATGACAGACCGCTGGAGGCCGGACTCCTCGCTTCCAGCATTGCGGCTGAGGTAGGCTGTATGCCATGTTTGTCATTGTTCAAATAGTTTCCTCTATCCACCTGTTTTTGAACACAAGTGCAGGTGCAGCCATTCATAGCTTCTAGTGGCATTCGCTTCCAGTTATTATAGCGGTACAAAAACAGTCTGGCTAATATTGCAAACTGGTATTTTAATATATTGTCATCATAATAACAAACACATTAGTTTGTAGAGCAAATAGTTTTATTATTTACTGCACTTTGTTGTTCTTCTGGTTATTTACAGCACCTATAGCACTTTGTGTGTGGCTGATTGTGTTTTCTTTCTCAGCATATTCCCAGCCCGCTTAAGAAGATGCCCCGCATCCCAGCTACCACAGCTGGCCCTGAGGTGCTCGTCATTAGTAACGGGGACCATTAAGTTTGCCTCTATGAGGTGCTCACAATGGCAGATCACATGGCCCCAGGACTTCTGCAGCCAGATCACTTCTCAGTGAGTGATGTGAAACTCAAAGCTTTTTAATGTTCCAGGACAGACTCAGTTCGACCATCACTGTGTTGAAGACGGTAGTTTGGAAACGAAGTGGTGAGCTCCCACAAACTGCCTCTCAGAGTCATCTATGCAGATATCCTGAATTGTTTAATCCTTTTAAGTTCAAATATCTACCTGTTGGCATTTCACAAGCTCCGTGTTGTCTTAAACTAACCCTGTCATTTAAAGCAGACGTTTTAAGACAGAAAAGAACATCAAAACGTGAATGTCTTGAAGAAGAGCGTCCCTCGTTGTTTTTAATTGATCTAAATGCTGCATGGCTCCGTTCTCGTCAGCTGACGGCTGTCTGTTTTTGCTAAATTGTTGTCTTATAAAACTCCTTTCTAGTCAGTCTTATCACCATGGCCATGTCAGGGAAATGTGCCTGGATCACATAATAATGAGCCATTAACTTAAACTATATAGTCGCTGCTAAACGGGCTTCTGTTGGCATTTATGTCCTTCGAAATGAGAATCATTTATTTGATATTCATTCTAGCCAAAGTAGATGTGTTCATTTATATGAACTCAGATGAGGAAAAAGTCATGATTATTGTATAGAGGACAAAAAAAGTGATGATAACTTAGTGGCAATGCTTTAAAAGCTATGAAATAATATAATAATCAAACTGGTAACATCTTCAGGACAACAGACAGTTTTCGAGATTAAAATGAGAAAAAGCATCCGATTGTCATGTCAGCTGTTCAACCAAATTGTCATCTTTTACTCACCCTCATTTTGCTCCAAATCCATACACTCTCAGTAAAAAAGGTACATAATCTGTCAATGGGGCAGTATCTTTTCAAAAGATACACCTTGGTACCTAAACGGTCCATATTGGTGCCATAAAGGTACATATAAGTACACATTAATACCTAAAAGGTACAAAAGTGATAGCCCAGTGACAGCTTTTGTACCTTTTTTCTCTGAGAGTGTAGGACTGACTGAGTTTTTTTTCCTTTTTTTATTTTTTTTATGCAACATTAAAGAATATATTTTGAAGAATGTTGGCAACTAAACAGTTCTGGATCCCATTGACTTATTGTATGGACAAAAAAAAACAAAAAAAAGTTAACAGTGAATGGGAACTGTAACTGTTTGGTTACCAACATCCTTCATAATATCTTTCATGATGCACAGAAAAAAGTCAGTTATGCAGGTTTGGAACAACATGAGTAAACGATTAGAAAAATGTATTTTTGGGTGAACTGTCCCTTTAACTCACTCTATATCAACTATATGTAGATCACAACTAACCCTGATATTTCTTGATCTGTTGAAAACTTGCAATCTGAAGAGATTTCATATTAATGTGATCTTTTATGATCAAATCTTTGACCTTTGATTGTTCCAAATGACAGAGCACTTCTCAGTAATGATAACTTGTTCAGAGATTTATCGATTTCAGATTTTAATATTAATAATACTGCGGTATTGTAAAGGTTAGCACCTTAACACCTTGATGTTAAAGGGTTTGTGGCAGATTTACTAGACTAAAAGAAAAAAGAGGTATTTTCAGAAAGAGATTATGCTTGATTGCATAAACACTGATTGCAAAATGGTATTTCCTTTCCAAACATTCTTCAATCCGTGGGTTCATGTTGACGTCTGAATAACAAGAGCACGTCTGCTCCAAATGCATATCCATCCTTCGAGAAGCCTTATACATTCTAATGTACAGAACACAAAAAAATTCTAAAACTGTATAGAGATTTTCTCTCTCATTCTGCTGCCAGGACATGTTGACTGTAAAGTTATAACTTGAAACAGCCAATGTTTACAAGACGTTTCCCTCATGTCAGTTCATGCCAATAATTGGCAAGTAATGTACAGCACTAACTTATATTTGTAGATGGACAAAAATCGGTATCTGATCAGGTGTAACGTGTACAAAACAAGCTGTTAGACAATGTGTATGTGGGAATCTGATCATATGTGAACTGAGGATTAAATGTTGATTTGCTAAAGTCTCTGTTTATTCTTTGACTCTGGAGGTTTGGATTTTAATGTTTTGTGTCCATTGAATTACTGCAGGCCTAAAGTGTATTACAAATATTTACATTTTTCACATAGAGCCGGGCACTTGCCTTTGTCAGCGGTTTCAGACTGCGAGTGTGGCTTGTATACAAAGCTGGGTGATGTAGTCCAGTTCTGTCGAGACCCGGGGTGTTGAACTCCTGAAGCATCCTGAAGGACCACAGTCCTACAGAGTTTAGTTTAGCCCTGCTCCAACACGAACCTGGGCTGCGTCTGAAATCGCATGCTCATTGAGTAGGTACTTATTTAAATAAGCAATTACTTCACAAATGCAATAAGGCCAAATGTGAGCACAGTGCAGTTAAAATATGCGCTAATTTTTCCTTAATTTGTAAAGTACGAAAATGAAACCATATTTAAAAAGCTGTTAGACAATGTGTATGTGGGAATCTGATCATATGTGAACTGAGGATTAAATGTTGATTTGCTAAAGTCTCTGTTTATTCTTTGACTCTGGAGGTTTGGATTTTAATGTTTTGTGTCCATTGAATTACTGCAGGCCTAAAGTGTATTACAAATATTTACATTTTTCACATAGAGCCGGGCACTTGCCTTTGTCAGCGGTTTCAGACTGCGAGTGTGGCTTGTATACAAAGCTGGGTGATGTAGTCCAGTTCTGTCGAGACCCGGGGTGTTGAACTCCTGAAGCATCCTGAAGGACCACAGTCCTACAGAGTTTAGTTTAGCCCTGCTCCAACACGAACCTGGGCTGCGTCTGAAATCGCATGCTCATTGAGTAGGTACTTATTTAAATAAGCAATTACTTCACAAATGCAATAAGGCCAAATGTGAGCACAGTGCAGTTAAAATATGCGCTAATTTTTCCTTAATTTGTAAAGTACGAAAATGAAACCATATTTAAATGCATGAAATAACTCATTTTACATTCTTACATTATTTTCCTTTGTGCAGAGCTTGACTTAGGTATGACAAAAGTGCTGCAATTCATTTTGACAACTAATAAAATGTTAAACATATCTTTTTCAGAGTTCATTGATTATATAAAATTCAATGAAGGTTGACTATAGTTGTCTGCATGTCTCATCCATGAGTGGAAAGATTTTGGGGGTGTTAAGACCCAGAACCAAGCTTACTGAGCAATAAAGCTATAGTGAGCCCTTTTATTAAAATACCTTGAGCCTAGGTAATACAAAAATTAAACAAAAATTGTCATTCACTCAGTATTAGGCTACTTGATGTAATTCACAACTTACAATTACAATTAAGTAGGCCTGCAAATTAATTGTATTCAGTTGTGTTTTAGGCACTAAAACAGTCCAATACTTTATAGTCAAATCCAATTCTATATTGAAATAATGAAGATGTCTGTGCCACCCCTATGAAAATATCCTGGCTCTGCCACTGCCTGAGAGGGCAAACTGATTAATATCAGTTTATTTCTGAGCATCTCTTGCTCGGGGAAAAAAAACCCACGTGTTTGTGAATGGGCATTTGATTTACATTTGAGAGAAACTGAGAAGATTGTGAACAAGGATACAAACTAGCCACTTTTCACTGAAAATTGCCGTTGTAAATTCAAAATAGGTCATCTGTGTAATTCAAGTAGATTCAATGAGTTGAAAACTCTTGCTACTTCATACTTCAATACAAAACAATGCTGAACTTTGACAACAAATTTTTTTTTAAACGTTATAATAGTGATTTTATAATGTCTAAATATAAATCCATTAGCAAAACATGTGAAAAGAACTACTGTATATTTGAGAGTGGAAATGGTAAAGGAGACAATAAATGATCATCTGCTGCCATTTAGTGGTCATAGTGGGAATCATGACATTCATTTTAATAGTATTTCTTTTTCTACCAGGCGAAAAGAAATCTTCCACTTAGCATGGCAATTTTTCCATGAATTATCTCTTTAAGTAAAAATGAAAAAAAAAAAATGCAGATGTTCTTTAAAATAAATTTTACTATATAAAAATATTAATAATTTTGAGGCAAATGATATATATATATATTCAAATTAACTAACTAAAAAGTGTGCAATAGTACATGTTTGAAAATGAAAATGAATAAAAAAATGTGTTCTACTGTCTGGGGTCTGCCATCAGGAGTTAAAGGGGATGTTATGTGACACACTTTTCTTTATTTTTTTCTTGTTTTTACTTTTCACTTTTTTCCCAATGGTATTAAAAAAGGGGGAAGGGGGTTT